TCAGCAACCATTTTTACCATATTGCAATATAAGCACTGGTAAAAATGGTTGCTGAAGACATTAGGTTTATAATACCCAGAAATTCATACCCAGATGTCCTCAACGGCACAGGGGATAAAGGCGTTGGTTAGATCCAGTGATAAAAAAAAAAAAAAAAACGTGTACTGAACTCACATTCTTTGGGTCTTAAGAATGTGAGTTCAATACCCGGTTAAGGCAGTGGAGAACTTTCAGAGGGAAATTAGCAGAAGATAACTGATAACTGACATCCATCAAACATGGCACGTGGAACTAGAACAGTCTACCCCACTGAGCGAAATAAAGGGTTCGGTTCGAAATTCCAACCACCTGAAGAAGGCCGGAGCGTACAACGACCGAAACGTTGTGATAAATATGAGACAAAGCTGTGACAAAGATGAGGACAATAGTCCGAATAATGTAAATAATGTACATAATACCTCATCTCAGAAATATAGACAGACTCTAAAGCACTGAAGTAGGTAACTTGCAGTTCGAACAGTATCCGTAATTAATTTACTATTGTTTACCATAGCATTTTATTGTTATTAAAGAGAATTAACCAGGAGCATTTTAATAATAAATTTCTGGACTGTTGATTAATTGCTTAGTCTTTTTATTGTAAGTAACTGTATAGTGACTTTATTGGTACCTTGTATTTATGTATGTAAGTTTTAACAATGCTGCTATTGCTTTTCTGGTTTCTCATGTTACGGTTTTTTGGGTATATAACACATAACTAGTGAGCGAGTCAGAATGACTTATTTCCCTTTATAGTCGACTAATGGAAGGTTAACCAATCAGAAGCCGCACAACACTGTATTCGTCTTGTATAAAGGTGGCCATTTGTTTCCTCTACCGGAAGGACCAAAGGCGACCAGGAGAAGGATGAACTACACTCTGCTGTGATATCCACTGCGAACCTAAAGTACACTTTCCTACTGTCTCCGAAATATTCACTGCCAACCTCTGGATTCTATACTCGAGGACGACCATCATGAGAATGTCTAACATCTCATTCTTTTAATATTCCGCCATTAAATTATATCGAACACGTTTTTTTCTGTATTGTTTGCAGCGAGTCAGCAAGGATTTTTTTTCATTTTGTCAGTTATGTGCCATACGTGATACACACTTAGGCGATCATGTATCTTTCGACACATGACTGACGAGGCAGATTTTTTTCCCGCAGTAGGTTGCAATTTCTTTATGCGGTAGACCAGTGGCCGCCACCTAAGGTTATAGAACCCGGTCTGTCCTGCTATTTACACATAGCTGGGAGGCGGGTGGAGAACAGGATTCATACCTTTCACATAAGTGAATGTAATGGATAGCAGCTCAGATTGAGGAATCGGAGAGCTGAGTTCGAATTCCAGTCTATTTACGGTTTTTTTAAATATTTTATTTTAGTCCAAAATGGTTTGAGGAAAGGTGAGTTCCTATTGATTTATATTAACACTAATGCGAGTACTTCCTATGTCATGAATTAAATGGAAACATTTTTCTAAAGTATCTACAAGAACAAAACACTTACAATTAAACAAGAAATTCAACCAGTGAAATAAAATAGAAAGTATTCGATTATTTTTTTAAAAATAAATTTGAATGAATGGATGAGAAAGCAAAGACACAGATGAATAAAGATCAACAAAAGACTGAAAATTGTGGAGAGCCATGATCACACACTCTCTGGAAGTTCATGGCACTTGAAAGAAGTGATACATTCTGCTATATCTGGTCTGGCGCTCTTACCATATACCTAGAAAATCTATCTATAAAAGGCAGGATGTGTGTGCGCGCACGCGCGCGCGCGCGTGTGTGTGTAACGAATGCACGGCCGCAATTTTCGACGGATTTGCACCAAAATTTACATGCACATGCTCCAAGTTAGCGGACAGGCCAAGACTGACTGCATTTGCCAACTCCCATCGATAGTGGAAATAATCGATTTTTCATGCTTCTACGGCAGTTTTCATGTAGTTTGCGGCCATTTTGTACTGAGCAGAGTGAGAGCCTATAGCTGGTTGCCACGAATAGGCAGGAGGATTCTATTGGCCAGTGTGAGAGCCAACAGCTGACTGACACGAATGTTAACTAGCATGCAAAAAAAATCGATAGCTGCATTCGTCACAAGTGGGAAAAATTTAAATCTGCATGGCACTTTACTCCACTTGGCTCATTTGCTTGCTTAAACTCAACGTTGATTCTGATTCCGCAGAACTGGGTTGGGTGTTAAAAAGTATTTGTTGTTAACATTCTTTTTCTATTCGTTTTTTCCAATTACGACTCCTTTTTTAAAGCTGATTGTTTTGTGTTCATTTTGTTTGTTCTTTTTCGTAACAGATTTAATGTTTAGTATAGAGCTTAGAAAAAATTCGCAGTGTGAGATAGGCAAGAAGTAAGGCATGTAGCAACATCAGCATGGCAAAGGGCACTCCTTTAAAGGCAAGGAAGGGCAAACATATTTTAAGTCAAGTGATAGCGATTGCTGTACGATTTTTGAATCAAGCACGGGCAACGCCGGGCCATGCTGCTAGTTCATATTATAAATGCAAAGTACGGATTATAATCGATCCTGACCTGGCATCTCACTTCTGTTACGTGACTCTGTTCTGTTTTTTCTGCAAATACTTACATGGCATTTTTTTCAGATAAGTTTTTTTCCTTAGTGTCCTGACTGTATGAATTTAAGCGTGCTACTACAATGACAACAGGATCTCACCGTTTTAATGTTCAACTAGCTAGATGCAACCGTCTCTTCTATTCTAACAGATTTTTTCTCGCACATCTCGACGGTGGAACTCCCTCCCGATTTCTTGCTCCTCTGCCACCTACAATTTCCAAAAATTTAAATGCAACGTCAATCGCCGATTTTCTGGACCCTGTTTTTTTTTATTGTCCTTTCTACTCACTTCTCTTCACTTAAAATTGTCTTCTATTTCACTTCCTGTAAACCCCCGCATCCTAGTGGCATTATCACCTTGCTTGAGGCTGAAATGGACCCCCCAAAAAAAAAAAAAAAGTAATGTGTCTACTCTGGGAACATCTCGCACACCTTGTCACTAGACTCGTTGCCCTTAGACTGGTTATAGAGTTTTTCCCCTCCGTTTGGTTTGTCGAATACAAAGATAAAAATAAAATGTAACTGTTTACTAAATATATTTATTTTTGTTATAGTTGGAGCAAAGTAATTTTATTATTTCTAACAACATTTCTGGCTTATATTTCATAATCCTGAAATGTAGATATTAAGAAAAAAAACTGCATCGACTCAAAGACTGAATTTAATAAAACAAATTTTTACAAACCCTTGCAAAATTCGATGAACAATTTTATTTCTTCGGTTGGCCAATAACCTTCAATTTGCACGCCTGTTACAAAACTGTACTCGTCTATTAGCGATTTTCAGTTTGGAAATTACTAATCAAGACTATTAGAGTTTGTAATAAGCATATTAAATTCAGCTATTTAAAATAAAACAATAGCACTTATGCTTAGAATCAGGAAGAGGTAGTTAAAATTTCTGGAAGACATAATGAAAAAAAAGGACTTGGAGAATTTGGCACTCACAAGACATACTGACTGCAAGAAGAGCAGACAGAAACATCAAGTAGCCTACCTAACGAGCTTTTGCAAATGGATGGCAGAACAAGGACTGACAGATAGCAACGGGATAGACATTGCTTAGAACTACAAAGGCTAGAAATTTGTAGAGAGCCATGATCGTTTACCACATAATCAGACACAGCAGATAAAAGTTGTCGATGTAGTTTTCTTTTTATATTTTTATGAAATTGCAATATATTTTTTGACTGATCGATACTAATACCCATTCATATTGATCTTAAAAGTTCAATAAACTTCAGGCATTTTAAGTATTCTTAAATGTTAAAAATATTCTTGAAAAAATCGTATAAATGAAGTATTTATTAACATTTGAGTTAATAAACTGTTTTAAATTCACGAAAATTTGTAAAGTTTTCATGACTTCTTAAGAAAAACTCTTGCCACTTATTTCTTTTTGTTTGCTGCATTTAGATGAGCTACCGAAAAGCTTAGACAATTTGATCACAATACGTATAGTACGGATTATTTTTGTTGCCATCCTTTGCGAGCAGTACTCTTTGGAAGACGGGGAAAACAAAAGAGGAGGTGGAAATTTTGTTTTTCACGGTCAAATTACCCGAACTTTTAGGTAGCACCTTCTATTCTTAGTTACAATCTTTAATCACATTGACACATCGAGCTGGGACAATTTCCTAAACGACAATTCGTTTGGCACCATTTGTTTTGGATGGAATTGCCGGTCCATACACCAATAGCTCGGCATGATTTATTATGGCTTCTACTTGCAGTCGATCTACGATGATGGTGACCCGGGGTAGTACGATGAGGTATACGGGTAGTATGTCTCATCGGCTTTTTCGTGGTATTTCGAATCGTCTGTCTCTTTGGGCTTTGGGTTACTGGAATCTTGGCATTCTTAGCCAAGATGGCAACGTCGGAACATCCATAAAATTCCTCTTGAGCGTCAGAACATCCGAGACCTTTGCATCTGTTGACCATATTCAATCCCCAGGTATTTCCTTCAAAATGACAAAAAAAAAAAAAAGAAGAAATTGAGAAATATTTCAGTTTAGGATTTTTGAGTGGAAGACAAAAAAGAAGATTAAAAATGAAAATAAGGATTAAAAAGATTAAAAATACGAAAAGAAGCCACGTGAAAAGAATATTTTGAAGTTGTTATACTAGATCATACCTATTCTATTGTAAATAGACTCTCCCACAGATAATAAGTAGTAGTAGTAGTAGCAGTCGCGAGTTGGGCTCAGTGGAATTGAGTGAGTCGGACATTGAAGTATGAATCACCACAATTAGATTGCTGCATCATTAACTATTATTTCAAGATCCTAACGTTTTGTACGTCGAACCTAATTTAGGATCGACTTAGTGAAATACAAGCCTCCACTGTGAAAACTACTCTACAACAGAAGTAAAAAAATAAATAATACAAAAAAGAAGTCTATGAAAAAGAAGAGTAAATGAAGACGACGAAAAATATCATAAAAAAGAAAGAAAACTATGAAAATAAAGACTAAAAGAAAACTGCAAAAAGGAATGCCAAGATAAAGAAGACTAACACTACGAAAAAGTGAATTAAGAAAAAGAAGAATGCATTGAAAAGTAGAACTAAAAGAAGACGACTACGAAAAAAAAATGAAAAAAAAAAAGAGACTACTAAAAGAAAACTAAACGGAGAAGTTTAAAGAATACAGAAAAAAGTGTAACATGAAGTGGGGAAGAAAACTAAAAAGAAGAAAACTGCGAAAAGAAGATTAAATGGAGTAATATAAAAAGAATACAAGGGGGAAAAAGCTAGAGAAAAATTAAAAAAAAAAAAACAGCGAGACTAACAGACGGCCATTAAAGACTAAAACACCAGGAAGGATCAGACTACGAAAGAGAAAGACATAAAATAGAAAAGTAAAAGACGATAGTGAAAAGGTAGGATATAAAAAGACGAATACAAAAAAGAAGTCAATAAAAAATATAAAAGGAGACTATGAAAAATAAAGACTAAAAAAGCTACGAAAAAGAATGCTATGAAATGGAAGAAGAAGGCTATAAAAAGAATATAAAAAAAGAATTCGAAAAAGAAGAATAGAATGAAGAGTAACACTACGAAAAAGTAAACTGTAAAAAAAATTAATGAATATTATGAAAACGTAGATTTCGAAAAAGAATGCATTGAAAAGGAAGACTTAAAGAGGATAAGGAAAAATGAAAAAAAAAAAACAAATAAAAAAAAGAATATTATGAAAAGTAAATATGGTTGAAGAATTCTGTAAAGCAGAAGACTAAAAGAAGAATACCACGAGAAGAAGACTAAATGGAGAAATCCAAAAGAAGAATACCGGAATAAAAAAGAAAAGGAGAAAATTAAAAAGTAGTGTCACAAAAAGAGACTCAAGTAAGACACCGAAAAAGAAGACTAAAAGAAGACTACGAAAAAGAAGGCTACAAAAAAAGAAAATAAAAGAAGACTGCGAAAAAGATGACTACTAAAAAGAAGACTACAAAAAAAAAAAAAAGAGTACGAAAAAGAAAACTACAAAAAAGAAGACTACGAAAAAGAAGACTACTAAAAAGAACACTACGAAAAAGAAGACGACAAAAAAGAAAACTAAAAGGAGACTGCGAAAAAGAAGACTACTAAAAAGAAGACTAAATGAAGACTACGCAAAAAAGGCTAAAATACTACGAAGGAGAAGGCTATGAAATCGAAAACTAAAAGAATATTATGAAAAATAAGATCTTGAAAAAGAAAAAGAAAAATCTATGAAATTGAAGACTAAAAAACTGTTCAGTTTCATTCGGTTCTAACGTAGGCACCGGAGTGCTTTTCTATTTCTTCCACTTTTAATGCAATATAAAAGTTTATGTGCATCTACAATTGGTACAAGAAAACCGGGTGTTTTTTTGTTTGTTAGAATGCTGGAAACAAACAAAAGAATGTCAAAAAAACACTAATAACATCATTAATGATAATGAAAAAAAAAGTTTACATTTCATTACTTACCAGTATGGTACTTCCATTGGAACACGCACTGATCGCAAGTAACTCCAGCCGGAAGTCTTAGTTTGATATAATAGTGGCCCTTGCGATTACGAATCCGATATCGAGTTCCGCTACCGTCAGCCAGTTGAAGAAGGTGCTTGTTCAGGCATTCATGGGTGGCTCTTTTATTAACATCGTTGTTGACACACAGGCGGAACTCGAACCACCCCAAATGAGTGGCAGTCATTTCAATGTCTGTTGTGATTATTTGCCCTTCTCGATAATACTTTCCGATTGTGCCGGTTGCGTACAGACCACCAGCCTCGTGTTCACGGACTCCATCATAAGGGTCACCACATATGCCACATTTTCCATTCATTTTGTTCCACTGATGCTATTGTAATGATAATAATAATGATGATTAGATTTAACCTGTGAAAATTTCACGCTTTTTCTATTTTAATATTCTGATGAATTTTAATTCTTAAGTTCATGATTGAGTAAACACATTGCGAGTTCTACGACAATAAAATATCCGTAGAAATTCCCCTATCACATCGGTAAATATATGAGTGTTGTAACTTAGAAAGGGTTACTGAATAAGGAATAACCAAAACGGGGGTTGGAAATGAAATGTTAATCTTTATAACATCAACAAAATACAATACTTGCCAGCGGTAAAAAGATTGTTCAAAGACTGTATTTTGTTGACGTTATAAATCATAAAAAATTAATATAAAATATTTAGATATTGGTACATCATACTTATTATAAAACCCAGGTTGTGTGTGTGTGTGTGTGTACGTTTATATATTGGATCGGATTTCCTACAATTTTTAACCGATTTCAACAAAACTTCACAGGATTACGTAAAATTACATTGCGGTGGTTCTGACAGCGCCAACATTTGGAAAAACACAATTGTTTTTGCACGAAATCAATTTGAAAACACGATTAAGAGTCATCGCGAGAATGAAAGGGGGACAACTCATATCGAGTTATACTTATAAAACCCAGATTGTTTGTGTGTGTGTGTGTGTGTGTTCGTTTATATATGGGATCGGATTTCCTACATTTTTCAACCGATTTCAACAAAACTTCACTTTTCTTTTTGGCAGGTAGTGTTTCTTATTGTCTTGCACACTTTTTTCTTTATTTTTACAAATAACCAATTCGTAAAATAATAATAATAATAATAAAAAAAAAAACTAATTAAGACATGCGTGTTCGTCAACCTTAAACAATAATCTTTGTCAATTTTATTTTACAGTCTTTATGATGGTCGATACTTGATCTATCTCTTACTGTTACATCCCCGGGCAACGCCGGGCTCTACTGCTAGTACACTATAAACCAAACGTTTTGAGGCCACGCTCCTGATTTCGAAGAATCATCTAAAAATTGCCTCCCTTTTACAAAACAAATTTACTAACTCACTTCGGGTCAGAAGGACTTTATCTCCTTGAAGTGTTTTATTACCGTTTAAACTCGCGTATTATGTGACCTGTAAAGACCTAATTTTGAAGCTAATTTGATTACAGTAAATGGTTATATAGTTTGGTCAACGGCATAGCTAGGCCCAACAGTACATACGCTAATTTTATACCTCGTGTATTTAACAAATTCATTAAGTCAATTGATTCGTCCACCGCAAGGAAAGTTGGCTTCCTGTGCCGCGCCAGGAAATTTTTCTCCCCAGAATCGATCCTACAGATCTACAAATCAACAATTCGCCCTTGCATGGAGTATTGCTGCCATATATGGTCTGGAGCCCCTTATATTTGCCGCGGGGTTCTTGATAGGCTCCAGAGGTGAATATGCAATATAATTGGCCCTGCTCTGGGATCTCGTCTACAGTCACTTTCTCACAGACGTGCCGTCGCCTCTCTCTGTTTGTTTTACAAATACTTTTATGGTAATTGCTCCGAGGAGCTGCATTCGCTGGTTCCCAGACTTCATGAGTTCAAGCGCCCTACGAGGCTGGCATCCTGCTCTCACCCCATCACTGTCGAAACTTTTAAATGTAGCCGTCTCTTCTACTCCAATAGCTTTATGTCTCGCACCTCTCGCCTGTGGAACTCCCTTCCCTATTCCAGTTTCCCTGAGAGCTATAATCTCCAGCTATTCAAATGTAATGTCCCTCGACATCTCTAGTTGCCTTGATCTATCCACTACCCTTCTCCTCATCTTTTCTTCTATCACTCCTATCCAAATTTTCTGTAACCCCTTGCGTCCTAGTGGCTTCCCGCCTTGCTTGGGGTGAAACGCTTAAAAAAAAATGATGCAACCACCTTAAAATTAAAACTATATACGGTATATATTTAATAATAACAATAAAAACTAGTTTTAATCCGTGAAGATTTCACGCTTTTTCTATTTTAATTTTCTGATGAATCTTAATTCTTGAGTTAATGATTGAATAAGCTCATGGCGTGTTCTGTGGCAATAAAATATCCGTATAAATTTCCCGATCGTTAAATATTTGAGCTTAACGACTTTGACAAAATGTTGTAATAACAATCATAAACATGAATGCTGGTCGATATTTTAAGAAGTAAGAGGGTACAAATGAAAAGATTTGAAATTAACAACTTTTTTTCTATTTCATTGAAAGAGCCGTAAAACACTTCTATCTTCCTATCTTTCTTCCTTTTTCTTTCTTTCTTTTTTTCATTCCTTCTTAATATCTTTCTTTTTGAGCAAAACAAATTCGCCGATTTGGACAAAAAATTACCCCAAAATGCAATCAAAATTCGTGATCATTTTTCATCCCTTAATAGTCATTTGTACTTAGCTTAATTTGTAACGTATACAAATGTAGTTAGAAAAGAAATACGATAGTAAGGGTCACAAAGCACTGCCCGAGGGCCCCCCAACCAGGCTTGCGGCCCGGATGGGCGTATTTAATGGTAGTATACGCCGGCCCTGAACACACATACATTACAGTGATGATAATTACGGAGGTAAAGAATGAATTCAAAGAAAACCGAATAATAGCAGATGATAACTGAAATAAGATAACCTTACCTATTATTGTAAAAGATCTGCCTTCAATAAACATTTACATAGACCCGAATTACAATTTAAATAAAGTAGCAACAATAGTTGAATTATGATGATCTGAATGCTTAATGAGACTTGGAATGTACTTGTTAAAATATTGTGATGAGATTACATCACTTTTTTTAGTCAATTAGGTCTAATCCATTTATTCATGTTTTATTCAAAATGTCTACATTACATCTAAGAACCGAGTACTTGGTAAACGATAGTCAAGCCGCCGCCCCCCACCGCCAAAAAAAAAAAACAAAAAAAACAAACAAACAAACAAAAGGCGAGAATTTTGATATTGGACAGATTTTCAGAAATAGTTTCGAGCCAATAACTTTTCAGCACCCCTTTTATGTCTATCTCTTATATATACTATCTTCCTTCAACAGTTATCTCCCTTCATTGTTTACGACCTCCTCCCAACAATCCACTGTTTAATGCCACGACGATTGAGATGTAGTAGAGTGGGGGCCCGTATCATGGATTGGGAAGGGGTATCATAGTCTGTGGGGGGAACAGAGACCCTTGCACTGACCCTGGTGATGATAATTACGGTGATGAAAAATGAATTCAAAGAAAAAAAAATGAATAGCAACTAATAATTTAATTAAGATACGCTTACCATTTATTCAAATTGTTTACATTTAGGAACCGTAGATTTGGTAAACGATAGCCATCCCTCCCCCCCCCAAAAAAAATGGCGCGGAGAGAGAGAATTCTGATATTGATCAGATTTTCAGAAATAAGTTCCAGCCGATAAATTTTCAGCACCCCCTTGGTACATTCATATCCTAAGAAGCGATAAGAAGAAATAAGTAATTCGAGACGTGTTTCAAAAAGTATTATATTGCTGTTTCTCAAAAATGCTTTTGATTATATTAGCTTCGTCTGACTTTGCCACACTAATGAGCCATTCAGTAAAGATAGCAATGACTTCAGCCGGTAGCTTGTTAAGTGATGCTCTGCTGGAGGCGCCCTTCCTGGAACGGATTATGAGACAAAGATAACGGTAAAGAACAACTGATTGTTTTTGTCAGTCGCCACCTCTGAGAATGATTAAAATTAGATAAAGTAGCAACAATACTTCAATAATGGTGATCCGGTTGTCCAATGAGGCCTGAAGTGTACTTGGTAAAATATTGGGATGGGATTACATCACTTCAATTTAGTCAATTAGGCTTAATCCGTTTATTCAGATGTTTTATTCAAGTTGTCTACCACTAGGACGGTGTGCCCAGCAAATGATAGTCAAGTCTCTCCCCCCAAATATTTATAAAGTACTCATAAAAATATTTTAAAGGCTATAGAATCGTCAATGTTTGTCTATTCACCTTCGTTAAAAATAGACTCTTCTATAAGAATTAGCTTTGACCAATCAACACCACACATTGTGAAACTTTGCCTGTGATTGGTCGAGACGACCCTAGAATGTGTATCCATGGTCAAAAATCTGTTTTCGCGCCAGGACACTGGGAGCCTACTTTGGTTTCCCAAACTAAATAAAAGGACGAAATTCAGTCCAATTCACCAGTCAGGACTCCACACTCGGAGAGATGCCAACCAATTCCACGCCAATTTAAACTTTGACTTTTCCGCGCGAATTAACCTGACTCAACAACCTAATGGTTTACTCAATCTCTCTTTAAAACAAACTTCTCAAAAAAATTCATTTACTTTACTTGAGAAAGTGGAATATATATTCACTACATAATTAGTAACAGTAACAAACAAAACTTTCAACAAATAACAGTTCAAGGTACGCAACTTCGTACGACTTAAGAATATTTACAATAACACTCGTATACACACATTAACATTTGAACTGTAAAATCAAACACTTTTGTACGTTGAACAGCAAACTGTTTAATTCTTACCATAAAAACATCAAAACATTGATTTAAGCATTCAAACATAATCAACAACAAACTACATGTCTTATTACACCAATATACGACAAATCACCAACTCATTTGTATATATTTAAATTGTAAATTAATGTTATTGTTATGCATTCAACTTTTGTCTTGTTTTTCCAACTTTATTTGCATGATTTGTTCTAAGTAATTGTTGTGGACGAATGTTTTAGAACACACCCTCGAAATTCCTTCTGATTAATAAAAACACAACAACCAGTCCGCAACAAGGCCTCTGCAGATTGTGAAATCTTCAGCTTTTTTTTAGTTCAATCAACGGCTCCCATACGATCACTGAAGTTAAGCAACATCGAGACTGCTCAGTACCGAGATGGGTGACCGCTTGAGAATACCAGATGCTGTCAGTTTGGATAGCAGGTGGTGTAATGGATAATGGAGTTAAATAATAGTTTCAGACTATTATTTTTTAGTGGTAGTGTATTTTGGTTCAGACCATCTGAGGCTGACTTTTAAGGTCAGATGGTAGACAAAATAGGAATGTCGATTTTGATTGGCTGAGCCGAACGTGGAAATGTTAGAGTTAGAAAGTGTTTTCGAGGAGTTAAGTTTTACACGTCGAAGAATATAGACGTGGTTATTTCGTGTCTCGGGGAACTTGCACCCCACGCCCAAGCGGGGTGATAGAGCGACCCCACTGGCTAGTTAAAAATGTACACGTCGACGTGTTTAATAAAATAGATAAGATTAAACTCCCTTTTGTTGAAGTTCTCATTTTAACTCCGAACTAAAAACCAACTAGCGATCACCCGTCCGAGAGAAAAAAGAAATGAGAAAGAGAGGACGACAACTTTATTATGACCGTCAACCAAAAGACCTCCCCCAGAACGAGGGGACTATACAACACTTTGCTTATTTGACACAGTGGCCAAATCCTCCCCAGAATGAAAGGGAGTATACAACAATGTTTGTTAATCAGAGAGCCGAGCTCCAATTCCTGTTAGGTTCGTTATATTCACCTACACTCAAATACCCCTGGGAAAGATATAAATCTACTTCTTCCCCACCCATGTCCCTATGGGTTATATTAGTAAAACTAGTATCACTAAACCATTATTATCTCAGCAACAACAAAAATTTTTACAATCTAAAACTATTTTCTGGTTTTAAATAATTTGCAAAGGGTTGATAAGACATAAAAAACGAATCAACAATGATACTTTAACCTGAGACGGACGACCGTAATCTGGGAAAAACTGGACAAATTTGGATAAATTTTTTCTGTAAAAACAGGCTTATCAATAGGGAAAACCTCAAAATCAGAAGTCATATTTGGGGGCAAACAACACTTACAGCCATTCCTCCACAGAAGAGTTCATTGTCATTATAATTCTTAGGTGTTTGGAATCCCAATCTCCACATGCTGGCTCTGGATGGAGGATCCCATAGTCGACCATGACCCTGGACTGAAGCCAAAAGGCCGACACACAAAGCAACAAATACACCATTCAAGTGAGTGGAAAACATTTTGCCGAGTTAGGAGACTGAACTGCTTCCTTGAATGAATCTGATGCTGTTAAATAAGCTTCATTATAGTTATCAATGAACAGAGGTTATCAGAAAGATAACGAAATTGTAATTCTCGTGAAGAACAGGTGAGATTTTCCCTAGCTTATCGAATAGATATCTTTCAACAAACGTAAACACAATTCGATTAATGTTATTAAATATACCTGTGTCTCAATAAAAATGTATTCTTGGTCATTGTTTACATATACGTCACATTATCTATCTATCTATCTATCTATCTATCTATCTATCTATCTATCTATCTATCTTATCCCCTTCCAATATTATCTATCGATATCACCCTCTTCCTATCTATCTATCTATCTATCTATCTATCTATCTGTTAATCTGGTAATATTTCGTATAAGGCTACAGTGTGTCTCCTAATATCATCGACAATTTTTATGCAATACTGCAAGTTTTTTCTCGCAAGGAATGTGCGTACTTCGCTTAATGACAAATAATTTAATGATATTGACAATCCTACATTTATATTTTTAAGATTTTCCTGATATTGGGCACACATAAATACTTAGCACTTTTTCACAAGTTTAATGGCCGACTCATTGAAACTGACTGTGTATCACAATCATCTGAAGTATTGAGGGATAATGACGATGAAACACACGTCTTACATTTAACGTGGAACTCTGGCTTTCTACCACCTGCTGCTTTCTGCTTTTTTTCTCTCTCTCTATCATGATTCAACTTTCTCTGCCTATTTATATAAAATAAAAACGATTTCACATCGGCTCGTTACCTTTTTCAGTTTGTAAGCCGCTCCCTTTTTTATTGGTCAAAATAAGTTTTCGCATAGGCTCGTTAAACTTTGCCTTGGTCTTTTCTTCAGCTCGGATCCAATCCCTTTTTCTACTGGTCAAAATAAAGTTTCGCATAGGCTTGCGAATTTGAAAACAGTGGAGAAAAGACAGTTATTTTTATTTCGTATTCACCACACATCAACATGTACTGGTTAGAAAAAAAAACTGTTTCCCGAAGATATGAATTTAGCATTTAGTAGGTATCCAGGAATGTCATCTGAGCTTAATCCCACCAAGAATCTTGATAGCATTATAGAAGAGCGTGTTGAAAATGTCCCATTGAACTTGCCTAAATAACAACAGTATTTCCGGTAGCATTTAACATAATTGGAAAAGTTTTGGAATTAAATATCAAAGAAGAGACTCGAGGCGGCGGAGATGTGGTTCTACAGAAGGATGCTGAGGATATCATGGACCAAGCATGTGAGCAACGATGAGGTCTTGGAGAGGATGCAAACAAGGAGGAAGCTTATGCTAACATAAGGAAGAAGCAGATGAAATTTCTGGGACAGGTGATGAGAAAGGAGGGCCTGGAGAATATGATACTCACGGGACGAATAGAGGGAAAAAAGAGAAAGGGGAAAGCAGCGCATGACATACGTGGCGGGTTTGGGCAGGTGGATGGCGGAGCGTGGTCTGGGGGAGTTGACCAAAGCACAAAACCTGTTGAGAGCCACAAAGGATAGGGGGAAGTGGAAGGCCATGATCATAAGTAAGATCAAGTTTTTCCCGCGGTTCCTTGGGAGTCTACCTCTTTTCCTTAAATAGGGCGACATTTCGCAAGTCGCCAGTAAGATCCCAGCCATCAACACAAATCCACGATCTTGCTCATCACACTCTAACGCACACACAGATACAGAAGTTCGTAACTACAAACTTACATTTTCTCTCTGTAACTTTCGCCAAGCACAATCAACCAGAACTTTGTTGATTCAAACCAGTTTATTCACAACACATTTCAAGCAATTGTATTCTAAGTGTTATTCATTCTTCACATGCAAACTTTGCTCTAACAATTATTTCGGAACATTTATCTCACAAGAGAACTTTCTTCAAACAGTTGATTACAATCAATCTACGGTCAAAGGGAAAAAACTTCCTTCTCTTTAATCTACATTGTGAATACGATTTTATTTCATGCTTGTTGTTGTATTTTATTCAATGTATATTTGTTGGTTAACAAATTGGAGTTGTTCTTATTATTTCTTGAATCCTGTACGTGGAAGAATCATTAATATAAATAGTAGTCGTACCTATATATTTGGTGTTCCTGCTACATTTAGTGAATCGACCCGACGCTATATTTGGTACTTACGCTACAGAACTAATAAAAAATAAAAAACTAATAAAAAATGTCGGATTAAAAATAAATCCATTGATTCTTTAATAAATTAAAAAGTAAAGACAAAAGGAAAATTATTTATTTACCAACACGTTTTGTCCTATCTTCTGTCTGATGGACTTTTTTTTATCAAGGCAAACACAAGGGATTTACTTTGCGACATGTAGCAAAAATATCGTTAAGTTTACAATATTTTTGAATTTAAGAACGCTCAAAAATCAATAAGGCTAACTAACCGTTAACTGTGAGAGTCAATGCTTCATATGTGTAAACTATGGTGTATATATTTAAATGATCCAAATTTTAGTTAATGGCTTTATTTGAAGGTTAGTTATAGTCGTGTAAAGTACTGTTAGCTTCAGATACAAAAAAAGTAAAATGGTAAAATCTGTTATTGGTTCATTTGAATGTGAAACTCATCACACTTTTGACTTTACCCTTTCGAGATAAACATGCCACAAAAGAACCTATAATGACCTTTGATTGAAAGTTTTTACAGAAAAATCTACCAAGAAGAATGACACCATAAACTTTGAAGGTCAATTAACTAAGTAACAAATTTTTATTAATTCTCTCTCTTCTCTCCCCCACTCTCTCTATTGAGTAGCCTTCCCATATAAATATAGCAATTTTTCATATCTTCCTTACTTTCTGTGAGTTTTTTCCGAAATGCACTTTTAAAAAAAATAAAATTTGAATATTACCACAAGAACAAGGCCATGAAAACTAAAACAACTACTAGTTGTTTTACTATTACTACCAACAAAGACGACAAGGATCATAATTTAATAATAATAACTATTTATTTTTAAAAATATGTATGTCAATAACGTAATATTATCTGGGCGGTATTATTTTCAAAGGTAACATTTAAGAGCACTGACACCGCCAGCCTTGCATGTGTTGAAACTGTTGCTATGTGAATTAAGACGCGATTAAATTTTTCTTTTTATTTGTATAATTTATTAATTTTGTAAATATTTGTTAAGAAAAAAAAAGGACAACAAAATTAGCGTAAGTTTTTTGCTAGATTTAATCTCTAGGTTGATTTATTTCTTCTTATTGAAATATTAATTTTGTTTTTTTTTAAAATACTCGAATTTATTTTCTTACTTACCTTGATTTTTTTTTTGTAAACAAAACAGCGAAAACACATGATCCAGTCACAAGTGGGAAAATGTTTGGACGGCAACTTGAAATATTTAGACCTATCAAAATCAGGTATTGGTAAGTAAAACAAAACAAGGGGTCATTTTTCTTATATATATTCACCTCTTTTTCGTTGTTTCTTCGAAATATATCGGAACGGAAATATTGAATTGAAAATGCGTCCATTTTCAAAGATTTTTGTTCGCATCTATCTATCTATCTATCTATCTATCTATCTATCTATCTATCTATCTATCTATCTATCTATCTATCACAGCCTGCTCTCTATCTATATCTATCTATCTATCTATCTATCTATCTATTCATCTATCACAGCCTGCTCATCATCTATCCATCTATCTATCTATCTATCTATCTATCTATCATCTATCACAGCCTGCTCATCTATCTATCTATCTATCTATCTATCTATCTATCTATCTATCTATCTATCTATCCTATCTATCTATCTGCTCATCTATCTATCTATCTATCTATCTATCTATCTATCTATCTATCTATCTATCTATCTATCTATCTATCTATCACAGCCTGCTCATCTATCTATCTATCTATCTATCTATCTATCTATCTATCTATCTATCTATCTATCTATCTATCTATCTATCTATCTATCTATCTATCTATCTATCTCATTATTACTTAATTTAGAATTTCTATGAGGACAGTTCCGTTGAAAATATCATTATTTTCTTTATTGTTGTAGTACAGCAGTAAAATGTTTTTTTTTTTTTGTTTTATTATTTTACTAAGGATAATAATGGTAATATTTTTTATTTGTCTTCTTCTTTCTCTCATTGACCACCCCTGCCGTTGTTGTTAGGGACGATTTATTTGAAGTCACCAACACATGATTCTTTCAGTATATACTGGGGGTGGGGGAAGAAAATGCTATGTATGTAGCAACATCTTTTGTGTTTGAATGGCATAGTGACAGTTACATCTCTGCTTCTCCGAAAATCAAAATCTGTGGCAGTAAAAAGAGCAGAAATTGGCTTTCTTCTTCTATATGCCATGTCCCTTCAGGACGTAAACAATCATGGCCATGCAAAATTTCCTGTCCTTTGTACTCTTAATAAATTTTGTCTTTTTCTTATCTTTCCTAAACCCTGTTCCACCATCCATTTACTCACACTCACTAGGTAGGTTATACATTGTTTTCCTCTGCCTCTTGCCTTCATTCAAATCAGTCCCATGAGTATAGGATTTTCCAATCCCTCTTTTTCCATTTATGTACTTTCCAATTCCCTGATTATGTACCCTAGAAATTTCATCTGTCTCTTCCTGCTGTTAAGTATAATTATCCTTTTTGTTTCCATTTTCTCTAAAACTTTGTTGTTGCTCACATGTTCGGTCCATGATATCCTCAGCATCTTTCTGTATAACCACATTTCTGCTACTTTAAGTCTCTTCTTCATCTGTGAAGAGATTGTCCAGCATTCACTGCTGTATAGGAGGACTGATATTACGTAACAGTTCTGTATTCTTTTTTTTTTGTTTCTAACCAAATTCCTTAATATTCTGCTTAGCTTTTGGAAGGCATTTTTGGCTGTCTTGATGTGCTGTTAGATTTTTGTGTTGCTCTTTCCATTCTCTGTTAAAACACTTTCCATATATTTAAAATTTTGTGCCTCTTTGATTTTTGGTATCGCTGACCACTGACACATCTTAGATATAACAGGTTTAATAATAATAATAATTATTATATTGGTGTCACACATTGACATAGTAGAAATTCTCTATGTGAGGCTTACTTTCAACAAGACTCCTGACAACTCAAGAACATTTTGGAGATTCCTCACAGAAAAAAGGATGGCAGTTTTCAGGAGGTCTACAATCTTGGTTGCAATTCTAATTTTCCTTAATCAAAAGTTTCTAGGTAGTGTTCTAAGCACCCTCATTATTACAGGAATTAACTTCAATAGTTATGTTTCTTAGATTATTCAACTCCCAAGTCAGCTCTTGGTATTTTTTCACTCTTCTTAGTTCATTTGGAGTCCAGTCTTGTAACATATGGAACAACAAAATTAAAAATTTGACATTTGCTATTTCTTTATCTATCATAATGTTATAGTAGAACAACCTAACACACCCCAACTGTGATTGGTCAGTCTAGAAGAGATGTGATTGGGAGAATAAAAGACGTGACAAACTATTGTAGTAGAGGTTTATGAAGGATGACTATGATCTCCGTGATGTATCTCCCATTTTACTGATTGTTATATTTACAAACTCTTACACATTGTACTTTCCGTACAAAAAAACCTTGTTATTGTTTTGCCCAATTCCTGTGTTAGTTTAATCTTTCCACTTGGGATTACCTGGTTGATTATATTTTATTATCCATGATATAACACATAATAAGGCAAGGTTTCCATGATATGATTAGTCTGGTTAGAAACATCCTATAATATTTTAGTGATTAGCTACTTCAATAATTAAATGTGTAAGTTTTCTTATGGGAAAATTTTATGGTATATGAAATGATGGTGGTAAAAAAGAATGCATGCACAAAATAACTGATTAATTGATTTGCAATGCAAAATAACATTCATTAAAACAAATTAATAAAAGGAAAGTTTAAAACAAGAATTTCTTTTGTTAGCATTGAATTGCATACACAATGAAATGTTCATGAATACATTCTAGTGAGACTTACTGTGTTTTAGTGTGGAAGCATTCACAGCACTTGTAGCTTCAGTGTGGAAAGTTCATGTCACCAGTTTGAAAGAGAAAAACCTGGAAGGAGAGAGAGTTACTTTAGGATTCACATGTTTTTTATATTTGAGCTGCTGCTGATACAAAGTGTATTTACAGCTGTTACTGCTACTATGTTTAAGGTCACTACAATATCTTGTAACTGTCATTTTTTGCCACTGCCACTAACTGATAATCATACCATTTCTCTTTCATATTGAAGTCAAAGTTATGACTAATTCCCAATGGATTCTCTTACCAATCCAAACATGTTGTTGCTTATACTCTTTCTGTGTCAACTTGAGATATTCACTATGTGGTTAACTGTCTCATTGGCTTGTCCACACATCCTGCATTTACTTTCTTCTTGTGATTTGCCTATTTTGGCTTTGATTGCATTCATTCTGATGGCCTACTCCTGCACTGCAAATATTATTATTATTATTATTATTCTAGATATTGTTGTTATTATTATCATTAATAATATTTACTTCTTGTTTTTATCATGCAGTGGCACTTGGAAAGCTGAATGGAAGTCAGAATGTCCAAGTTTTGAATCTAAGTCAAAATTATCTTCCAGATGTGATGAATATTGGCATTTTCTCAAACCTGTGGAAACTGGACCTCAGCAATAATAAGGTAACATACAAAATTTTGATTTTTTTAATATTGTAATATAAAAATCAACCATTCGCCCTTGCATGGAGTATTGCTGCCATATATGGTCTGGAGCCACTTCTGTTTGCCTTGGGGTTCTTGATAAGATCCAGAGACTGATATGCAATGCAATTGGCCCTGATCTGTCATCTCGTCTGCAGTCGCTCTCTCACAGACATGCCGTCGCCTCTCTCAAATACTTACAAATACTTTCATGGTAATTGCTCCAAGGAGCTGCATTCACTGGTTCCCAGACTTCATGAATTCAAGCGCCCTATGAGGCTGGCATCCCGCTCTCACCCTTTCACTGTTGAAACATAAATATAGCCATCTCTTCTACTCCAATAGCTTCATATCTCATACCTCTCACCTGTGGAACTCCCTTCCCTTTTCCTGTTTCCTTGATAGCTATAATCTCCAACTATTCAAATGTAATGTCAATAGACATTTCCAGTTGCCTTGATCTATCCACTATCCTTCTCCTCATCCTTTCCTCTATCACTCCTATCTGCTCTTGCTCCAAATCCTATGTAACTCCTTGCATGCTAGTGGCTTCCAGACTTGCTTGGGGTGAAATGCTTATAAAAAAAAAAAATTTGACTGCTACTTTCATTTCAATACGTTCTGTGAAGATAACAACCTTATACTGTGAGTTATAACATGTTATACACTGTTGTTATGTCTACCAATAAAGCTATTTATTCATACATGTTTCTCTGTTTGTCCACAATGTCATTTTGTAAAAGAGTGGGCCATGGAATATGGAACAGTTAATGAAATTTTGAAGAAGAGCTGTAAATTATTTTTGATTGTTGACAGCTATCTAAGACAATAGCACAAAATATCCTATTATAATTATGCTTGTCCCCACACCCCTGTACATAATGGACTATTCCATTTTGAACATCTGGAAAGAGAGGTAAGGACACTACTTGGTTTTGCTGAGAAAAAGAAAGAAAGAATGTAAGATAGATGTGTTTAATGATTGCTGCTAATACCTCATAAATAATAGACTATTCTATTTTTAATGTGTGAGACAACAAAAGATGTCAAAGATGCTACTTGGTTTCAGTCAAAAGATGAAAGAAAGAAGGTAGAAGTGTTTCACATCTGTTTCAGTGAAATGGGAAAAATTGTTAATTTCAAATCTTTTTATTTTTACCTGCATCTGAAAATAACGACTAGCATCTACATTTATGATTGTTATTGCAATATTTTGTTAAAATTGTTAAGCTTAAATATTTAACAATGTGATAGGGGAAATACTGTGGATTTTATTGTCTTGGAACTTGCCATGAGCTGATTCATTAGCTTAAGAATTAAGATTCATCAGGAACTTCAAATAGGAAAGCCGTGAACTTTTCATGGGTCTTTCTAATATAAATAGTTTCCACTTTTGTTTATCAACTATATTCTTAAAAAATAAAATACAATTACAGTTTATTCAGTTATATATTCACCATTACTTGTGTAGCGAGTGCAAGATAATAAAACCCCCTTTATTCACTCCATACAAATCGGAGGACTGAGAAAGAAGAAGGAAAGAAATTTGCGAGCATAAGTGAAATTTTTTTTGGACCAATGAAAACCCTGTTTTCACAGAAATTGACCAGTGACTTAAGAAAAAGAAGGAAAAGAATTTGTGAGCCTACGTGAAATTGTTTTTGGACCAATGAAAACCTTGCCTTCAAAGAAATTAGCCGGTCACTGAAGAAGAAAAAAAGAAAGTAGCAGGCCTATGTGAAATTCTTTTTGATATAAAATGAGAACAAAAATGAAATTAATCAGTGTCTAAAGTCAGATGAAAGGTTTTGTGTCAGTTCCTTGCAACCACCATTGAAGTTCTTGCCAGTGTAAAATTACTCACCAGTTGTATCATTGGCCTCTATCCAGCACAGTGTTTCAAAGATTTTTCTCTAAACAATTCAAAAAAGTTAATTATTTCAAACTGTCTCTCTTCATCTACTTTTGAACATATGCAAACCATATATCTCTTCATTGAGCAACAAATTCTCTTACCTTTATCTTAAACATTTTTGAATACTATTTCATGTCAGATCATTTAATCTCTGTTGTATGAACATTTCCTCTTCATGATAATACATTAAAACTACAGACTTCAAGTATTCTGATTTATTTTCATGAAACAAGCTACTGACATTACTTAAAGCATGTAAATTTGTGAATAAATTCCTTATCTTGTTCTGTTGAAATTACCCTTGGGTTTCCTCATCCTTATTATCATTTTGTAATCTTCTTGGTGTGGGTAAATCAACGGTTCATTTTAACCCTGAAACCCCATGCCACTAGATTTGCAATGACTTATTGCCACTTATCAGGCAGATTTCAATACCTTTCAAGTAAAATTCCAAAACGTGGTGTAAAAAAGTTTTCAGTGATCTCTTAAATCTAATTTTCATTATTTAAGCTTTTTTTCCCCATTCAAAGCATTTTGCAGGGATCAAAAAAAAGGTAATAATGAGTTGGTGCAAGATCAGGTGAACATGGCAAGGCAGGCAGAACAGGCTAATTGAGTTCTGAAATTTTTCTTGTGTTATTCTTGCTGTATTCTACCTTGCATTGTCATGGAAGAGAACAGCATATTTTTTTTATCCACTGTTTACATTATCATCTAAACACTAAGGTATATTAGTGTACTTTAAATTTATTCGTAACTGTCCTGATTAGTAGTTAGAATGTTACATTTGTCATTATAATTGGTTTCTAAAAATAGAAATTACTTATGACTAGACCTAATAGAAAAATTGAAATTTACACACTTATCTCCCCTGGGCCTGAATTGATTTTCATTCAGTTTTTAATGAAAGTGTCATTTGCAGAGGTATACATTCTCTTAGGGTTTTTATGGCTTTTTTCTTTTTCAACAGAAATACAGTGAATGGAATATTTTAATATAAGTTATAGTATATTGATCATTTATGCTATTTATATTGTTTGGACTGTTGTCCTCATCTTTATTGTCATATTCACCATGTTTCGGCCATTGTACACTCTGGTCTTCTTCAGGTGATATACATTGGAATTGCAAACCAAACCTTTTATGTCATCCACTGGAATAGATTGTTCTAGTTCCACATGCCATGCCTATGTCTTTCATCTATATCTCAGTTTCAATTGTTTACATTTAATTACTCAACTCTCCAAGTTTTTGTTCCCACTGCTGTTGCCAGGTATTAAACTCACAACTTTTTGGGTCAAGTCACTGGATTGCTTCAACCAATGCTTTTATCCACTGGACCATGAATATGACAATAAAGATGAGAACAACAGTCACAGAACAACATATATATATATATATCTATATGTATGTGTGTATATATATATATATATATATATATATATATATATATACTCTCCGTCATATATGTTATATATACGTATGAGGTCAGGCCGATAAGTCCCCAGGAAACCGACATCCCGACACCGGGCACATGAGATTTGTTTATAGTGGTGAAGGCCTTGTGCAGGACCAGCTACACTTTTTGGGGGACGAATACAGAAACCTGGTGCACCGAATGCATGCCACAAGGTTCCCAAACGACCCTCCATGTAGTTTTGTGTAATTTATGAGGTTTTGAATTCAGAGTTGTCCTTCTCCTAGACCAGTTGCCATCCAAGGCTATAGAACCCAGTCTGTCCTGCTATTTTACCCATAGCTGGAGGGAGATGAAGAGGATACATACCTTTCCCAAGGGTATTAGCACGTAAGTGAATGCAGTGGATTTGACTGAATTTGAACTGGCTCATGTATTCCTCAATCCAAGCCTCTAACCACTGCTCCACCGTGCCTCATATGTATGTATATATATATATATGTATGTATATATATATATATATGTATATATATATATATATATATATGTATATGTATATATATATATATATATATATATATATATGTATATATATATATATATATATATATATATATGTATATATATATATACATATATATATATATGTATGTAAATATATATATATATATATATATATATATATATATCATCATTGAGTTTATCTTGTATCCAAGAATTTAATTTTCTCTTTCCTGATCACTTCCATTATGACAATGTAAGAAATTCAAAGTAGAAGAAAGTGACGATGATGCGAATTTGTTTAAGATGGACCTCAATTTGCCAGTTATATATACAACTGAATAATCAAATTCACCCCAAGTAAGGCAGTAAAGCCACTAAGACATGTGGGATTATTGGGTGTGTAAGAAATAGAAAACAGAAACATTACTAAGGAGGAAGAAAAATAGAATACAAATAAATAGCAATTGACATTGCATTTAAATTCTTGAGGTTTAAATTTGACAGGAAAGCATTGAGAAGAAAGACATTTCCACAAGCAACAAGAGCAAGAAAAGAAACTTTTAACATAGAACTTAAACTGCAAATTGATGAAACCTCATTGCCAGTCTAGTACTCTGCTTTAATTCATAAAGTCTAGGTACCATAGCAAAGAGCTCATCTGAACAATTACCATGAAAATATTTATAGAAAAGGGACAGGGAAGCAACTTTACAGTGGTTGGAAAGTGACTGAAGCTGAGATGCCAGGTCAGAACCAATAATATTGCTAATTCTTCTATGGATTTTATCAAGAATCTCTAAATATGTAGCAGGAGCATCAGACCATATGTTGCAGCAGTATTCAAAGCATGGACAAATGACTTATAGATATGTAAGATAGATTCAATATAGTTTTTCCACTTAATTTCAGCTGATAACATTAACTGGGAAAATGCAACACGTCACACTCCTAGAGGTTAATGTCCGCCATTCTGATGGAAGGTAGAAAGGGGTTTCTCAGATGATTAATAGTGAGTAGATTTGTTTTAGAGGTGTTAAAATTTACAAGCCATTCTTTGCCCCATTTAATGACATATTGAAGGTCATTTTTTGATATCACAGCCAATTTGACTTTATTGAATTGATCAGACTTATAATCGAGACAGGAGTAATTGGTTGTGTCATTAGCATAGATACCATTTTGAGAACTGATGCCATCTGGGAAGTCATTAATGAAAATTAAAAACAAAGTAGGACCAAGGATAGAACCCTGGGGAACACCTGCATTAATACAAAAGGATCTAGATGAGTGGCCATGCAGGATAACTTTCATTTCACAATTTGATAAGAAAGACTGGATTGGTTGGAAAATTTTTCTGGAGACACCATAACTTTTCAACTCTTGAAGAAAACCTGTATGGCAAACCCTGTTGAATACTTTCAGGATTTCCAAAAGCAACAGCCAGCTTCACCATTCTTATCTAAAGCTTGATAGATCCTTTCTGTAATGTCAATATATCAGCAACTGACCTAAAGAAACAAAAGCTATATTGCTTGTCTCAAAGAATGTCCCATGATGTGAGATGCTTAAGTAATTCAGCATTGGTTAGGGTCTCTAGTAGTTTACCAAAAAGTGGTAGAAAGCTAATGGACTGATAGTTGAAAGAGTTGAATGATTTACCTGAGTTCTTAAAAACTGGAACAGATGTGGCTTTCCAACAAGCAAGAAACCAAGAGGCAGTGAGGGCATTTATTATACAGTTCAGAGAGAACAGCAGTTAGTTCAGGAGCACATATCTTAAGGACTATTAAAGGGATACCATCAGGTCCATATGCTTTGTGGGGATCCAGATTAGAGATGATAGCAGAAAGCATAGAAGAGTTTATATACATATCACTCAATAGTGGAAAGTTTGGCAAGGATACACATACAGATGAGTCAAGAGTAGAAAATTTAAGAGAATTTAAGGGCAAAACATTCCGCTTTATCAGCAGAAGATATTAACACCTCAAATGGATTGAAGAAAGGAGGAAAAGAAAATGTACTCTTATTTAATGCACTATTACAAAGCTACCAGTAATCATGAGAGTCAAAGGTTTTAGATGCAATACAGTGCCTCATTCTCTCAGGAAACAAAGACTTAGCCCCTTCGAGGACTGGTTTACATTTATTACAGGCAGCCACAAATAGGTGTCTGTTGTGATCAGGGCTGTCACACTGGTATAGTTGGGGAGTGGGGTTCTTGTGGGCTATAGTGGCAGAACATGCTGGTGTGAATCATGGAGAAGATTAAGGTTTGACCTGGTATTTCTGAGAAGGAATGGAAGCATCTATACTGGTTCAAGAAGAAATCTCAGTGGTGAAATTCTCAATATGAAGGTTAAAAATATCAACCTAAGGCGTGTTTCAAAGAAAGTCATTGAATGAATACCGATCAGCATGATGGTAATGGAAAGAAGAAATCAGAGTGATTCAGTCTGCCAAGAAGACTGTCTTGTGTAGTTTGGCAAAAGCTAGTAGCTGAGGTAAGAAATACATCACGAAAGAATCATGTTGATTTATTAGGAAGTGAGTAAAATCTATGATTTGAGTAAGGAGTAATGGCAAAATTAAAAGTCTGAATAACAGCAACACACACACACACACACACACACACACACACACACACATATATATGTATGTATACAAAGTATGATAAAAAAAATATTTGGACTGGTGCTATAAAACGAAAACTACAATACATACCACTTCAGCATTTAAGCCCCTGGAACTCCTGGGATAGCATGCAGCTGCTTCGTCGCATTTGCTTGGATTTTCTCAATGTCTTGAAACCTTGTTCCATTCAAATGGGATTTGTTTTTTTTAAGAGGAAAACTTGCAAGGAATAAATACTGGGGAATAAAGTTGTTGTCAGACCTGAGAAATGTTGTTCTTAGCCAAAAACTGGTACACCAGCCATGGTCACTGATGGAACCTCTGTGGTGTGGGGTGAGATGACCACATTCTACACACTTTCCTTCCAAACACTGCTATAAACAAGGGAAGTGAGCAAGAACATTATAACTTGTGTATGTGTTGTAGAGTTATTTCACAGTGGAGGCTTGTATTTGTACTAAATTGGTCCTAAATAGGTTCGACGTACAAAATGTTAGGAACTTGATATAATAAGTATTATGCAGAGTAATCTTGTTGTGGTTGCTGGCTACTTTCGTATTTGACTAACTGTCAACGACTGTCATCCGACATTGACTGATCCTCGTTTCTCTTACTATATTAGGTGGGAGAGTCTATTAACTATAGAATAGGTGTGTTTCACCATAACAGTATGTGTGACAGAGTTCAAGTGGCTACATTCTGCATATTTTAACATTTTGATCAGACTTTACATATATATATATATATATATATATATAGATAGATAATTGATAATATTATTGGTAAATATACACATACATATGCAATCATATATCTAAAATATATAAATATATATACATACATACACACATATATATATGTATAAAAAATATAATTCCAAAAAAATCCAGGTAGAACTCAATGCCCAGGACAGAGTAAGGATATAATAAAAAGGCTTAAACTATTAGTGTTTAAGACTTTTTAATATATATATATATATATATATATATATATATATATATATATATATATATTTAAAGATATTTTTGTAGATAATATAATAAAAAATAATTAAAAATAAAACTCAACAACAACTTGTTGTTGAGTTTTTTGTTTATTATTTAATATTGTTTTAATATGTCTTGTAATATTAAATTTTATACTTTTATTTCGATCATATATATATATATATATATATATATTGTTTGCTGTGTATCATTTTGTCTTGTTCTTTTTCTTCCTCTTTGTATTGTTTATTGAAAACTTTGTCAATTCTGCTTGTTAAGAAATTTGTCGTTTACACTAAATCATGGCTAATTTTTCTCCCTATAGCCTCTCCAAGTCTTTATAAACAGATGCAAATAAGTCAGTTATTAGTTTTCACAAAAACATCACTTAAATAAACTGTCATTGAAATCCAACAGTAATACTTGTAGTAACGTACTGCATTATTGCACCATAGCAATTTAATTCTACTAGTTTGTTACCTGTTGTATTGCTGATTTAAATGTAGATTTTGCCCATTTAAAATACTGCATATATTACAAAATATCACAGAGTTCAAAAGGGGTGTTGTCAGCTAAAAAGGGGGAAATCATCTTTCAACGCAGATGACCATTTCAATTTCATTCAAATTGTCTGTACATGGACATTTATATGTTGTTATAGTGGATACTTTGTATTTAAGATATTTCAAATGCAAAGTGTCCATTATAATGATGTTCAAAGTAATAAAAATGTTGGATTAAAAGTAAATCCATTAATTCTTTAGAAGTTGCTTTGTTTGTATTTTGGATAAGAAACTGAACAAATATGAGATAAATAGCAGGGTAGACTGGATTCTCTAGACTTGGCAACCAGTCTAGAAGGAAACTCTGAATTCAAAATGAGTTGATCACAGGGCTATGAATCCATTTCATCTCAGCTATGAGATAAATATCAAGACAGACTGGATTCTCAAGCCTTAGTTGGCAACCATTCTAGGAGAAGGACAACTCTGAATTTAGTGTTTCCTTAAAAACGAAAAATTGAATATTGCTTACTGAGGCTTTTTTTTGTGGCTGAGCATTAAAGCACACTGGATAAAATGATGGTTTCCCTTACAAAGGGGTAACCAGGTTCAATCCCTGCTGGTGAATGTCATTTTGTTCTTGATACCTTTCAGAAATATTTATATTTAATTTTTTTTTTTAGATGAGAAGTCTTAGTGGATTGGTGAATTTCATTGTCCTTGGAGCCCTCAATCTGTCTTACAACCAATTAAGCTGGCCAGAACTACTTAAGCTTCGACACATACATATTCTTGATCTCACACTCCATGGCAACCCACAGTTAGTGAAGGATACATACTGTAAGTAATTTATTTACTTTGTATTAAGCTTTTTATGATGTCTGCTCTGTGATTTATCAATGAAATTCTTTAGCGGTAAGAATTTTTCACAAAATACAAAAATTCAAATATCTGGGAAGTGTTTTGACAGAGGCTGGAAAATGTACCGAAATCTGAAGGCGTATTGGAATCGTGGAAGATGCCTGTCAAAATCTAAGTGAAATATTAAAAAAAGAGGAAAAATTTAAAACACTAAAATTTTAATTGTGGAAAGATTAAGAAATTGATATTCATTGGATATTCTTTATGTAGGATGAAGGCGATCATGGATCTCTATAACTTCCTGTCCCTTGTAAATCTTAAATTTTGTCTTTCTATTATTTCTCCTAAAACCTGTTCTTCCATTCATTTACTCAAGCTTTCTAACTATGTTATGCATTGTTTTCCTCTGTCTCTCTTGCCTTCAATCTGTCCTGTGAGTATCAGATTTTCCAAGCCCTCTTTCTTCATTATGTACACTAGAAACCTCAACTGCTTCTTCATGATGTTAAGTATAAGTTTCCTTTTTGTTTCCTTGAACATAAAAGTGTCAAAGGGAAACATTGAGTAACTGAATTAATGAGCTTGTGTAAATAGATAGAAGAGCAGGGTTAATAACGGAACAAATATTTTTTGAAGCTGCAACGGATAGGAAGTTGTGGAGAGCCATGACCGTCCATATTATGTATGACGTATTCTCTTCAGAAAAGCAAAAGATGCCATTGTTAAATAAAAGTTTTTGAGTAATTTGAAAGTTTACATTTCTGTTGAGATATTTGTTTTATTTATAATTATTTTTTTGGTAATATTGCAGTTTGCTATGGGATGGTGATTTTCTATGAATAGCTTAGATGTGGCACAAGGCCGAAAGTATGGAGCACCAGGTGGGGATCAAGCAGGAAAAGCTTGCTAACCATTACATCATGTTGAAGACCCTCTCTTTCATATGGGATGATTGTTTTTGTTTGTTTTGTTTTTTAATTTCAGATCAAATTCATGTGATAGACTGTCTGCCAAACTGCTGGATGCTGGATGGGAAACTGATTACTTGTATGTAATTATAGATTTTTTGCAAGAAATATGTATAATGATTATGTTGATAATGATTTATGCTGGTTGGATATTAGAGAACTTGTTGCGGATGTGTGTTGAAGAGGAATAGAAGATTTGAATTATCAGAAGGTTTAAAATTGTGTGTGTTCAATAATCTTCCATCCACAACAATTAATGCAAGACAGAGAAATAATGATTCATAAACATCTTGTTTCAAAACATAACAATTGAATTTATTAATATTTAGTACACATGCATGAATACTGAGTGGAAGGTAGACAGAGTTGTGTCTCTTAGATTAGGTAAATATTTGTATTTGAGCTCATAAAGTGAAAGTATTATTAAACTGTAGTTTAGAAGAATAAAGTTTCTTTAGCATGTTTGGAATTGTGTATTGTACAAGTTGGTAAAAGCTCAGAAGAGATTTCAGAGTTTGTACTTGTGGGAATGTTGGTAATGGTCTTTAACGTCTGACTGCATTAGTCAAGACGGGAGTTCTTGAAGATTACATCTTGGTACTTGGTAGCAAGGAATGAGACGCGAGAGAGAGAGATGAATGAAAAGAAAAGAAACTTGAGGGAGTTTACACATGTTGGGTTTATATATCTGCCTGTATCACATGATAGGATCAGAATTGACTTGGTGCCTAAATTGACTCTGCACATGAGAGCGATCTGATTGGTTGAAACTGACCAATCAGCAAGTTGGATGTACTGTGATTGACCAATGGTTTCTCGTTGATATTTTGTATGAAAGTAGGATGTTACTTACCAGATAGGAAGAGTGCATTTCCTAAAAATAGGTAAGACTGGTTTGTTGTGGAAGATTCCACAAACTTATGTTTTTTATATCAGAGCATTCATTCTTTATTTGAATGGTGTTGGGTGATAGATATTTTTTTTTTGCAATTTAGTTTTGGTTGGTAGATTTGATTTAGTGGGATATCTAACTCTATGGTTTATTTAATATCATAATTTAAATATTTTGTACATAATTTTATTTTATTTTTTTTAAAAATAATAATGGTTTTAGTGATTAGTCTTATCAATTAACTCATAGTTGCAGTGAGAAGAGATACATTCATACCTTTCCCAAGAGTATTTGTGTGTATATCAATATAACAAACCCAACTGGAATTAGAACTTGGCTTTCCAATTAAAAATTTTGAGCCATTATCCATTATGTCACCTGTACATCCAAGTTTGCATCACCTGGTATCCCCAAGTGGTCAATCATCTACTGACCAGGCTTGACGTTGCTTAACTTTGGCGATCGTACGAGAAGCAGTGTTTCGACATGATGTGGCTGTAAGACTTTTTGGAGATTTAGACAGCTCAAGATTTCTGTCATGAAAATTGGCTCTTGTAACCCATTAGGATTATAGGTAGCACCATATGTACTGCAGCTGTAGTGACAGTGGGTGTGTCTAAGGTAAGATAGCTTAATCGATTTTATCCCTTTTCAGGCTGGTTTTGCATTCAGAGTTTTCCTTCATCTATATTGGCTGCTACTACAAGGCAAGAGAGCCTGTCCTGCTCTGCTGTTTAACCCATATATAGAGATAGATAGATTTAAGATGTTTCTATGAGTGTAACATGTTTTTTAGAATGGAATATTAAAAATGATACCATATAGTGAGCTGTCCTATGGTGATATAAATGGTAGAAGTAGAATTTTAGAAGTGGAAGGAACTGAAATGCTATCTGACTGTGCTGTCCCAAATTAATTTTGGTATTTTAAGGGACATAATACTGGCATTGTTCAAACTGCTGATCATGAAAGATTATGTACATTCTCTCAGAAATGACAACTAAGGTCCTCCCAGCATAGTTGCAGTATAAACCACAGGTGGGCTCTGTGGATGTTGAACAAACAAATGTACCCAAGCATAATAGTTGGAATAAATTATCTGTTGAATGATACATTTTTATTTTTTGTTGGTGATTAATTTCCAAATAAACAACTGTTAATGTCGTCATGGGGACTACCCCACTTTGCCTGCCAGGATATCTGCTAGGTGCTGTTCTGTTCAGGACCATAAAAGGAAGAATATAAATCCTTGCTTTCTTTTTGTCCTCTGAAATGTAGTAGCAACAACAATAGGACTCTTCTTCTCTAGGGAGACGTCTCAGTAACTGGTCAAATCAACTACTTAACTTCAACCCAACCACGTGGCACACACACACACACTGATAATCTAATAAATGTATTTCTTTCCTTTTTGAGCTATTTATATATATGTAAGTATAATTTTATCTTCCTCTTCTTTTGTGAATAATATTGTTCTTTATGAATTGAGAATGTATTAGAATGATTGAATAATGAACAAATTGGGAATGTTTATAAATTTCACGTTTCGTTATTATTTAAGCTTCATCAGTAGTTTTTTGGAAATGAATTATGGAAGAGAAACTTCTGGTACTTTTAGTTCTGTATTATTTGTTTTTCATAGATCAGGTAGACCTCATGTGTCTTTGTCTTGTGGTATTAATGTGTGTGTGTGTGTTTGTGCATTCTTGAAGATGCTGATGGGATGTTACTATGCATAATTTCTTTGTGTATCATATTTCTCATTGGTCTTGTAGAAATTGAGTGATAATGTGTGTGCACGTACATATGTATCTAGTGAACAGTTTTGTTTCTGTCTGGTAGTGTATGTACAATGATTGAGGAATGTTTGGTGTGGGAATTAAAGGCTTGGGTTACATTGTTCACATCGAAAGACTAAGGTTACATCATCTTTCAATTTTCAGCTGGGGACCATTTTCGAGTGGGACAGTTTTTCAAGAAGTCAGAGAATCAAAGACAGCCTGTGGTCAGTGCTTTTTCTTATATATGCATATATATATATAATTATTTATTTATTTAAAAATATGATTCCATCGCTACATAAGAGTTCTCATGTTTCAAAACAAGAGCCGAAAACTTTAATATAATTATGTGAATTAAATTGAATTAAAGTACCAAGCTCTGTTCCGTCTTCAAGCTTAAATTTTTGAGAATAACTAATTCCTGAAATTTACGCTGCTTTTATAAGCATATTCATTATTAAAATTAAAATTACTATGGTAATGGCTAGAGCAATTATTTATTATAATATATATATATATATATATATATATATATATATATATATATATATATATATATATTATAAATTTCTTTCCATATCTTTAGGTCAAGGTTCAATTGTTATCTATCCTCCTTATCCTTATAATCTTCAGTTCCTATCTCCTCATTCATTTGAATCATGTAAATCATTTAGTAACCCTCTACCTTGAGTGGCTCTTGAGCCTTTTATCTGGTTAATTCTAGTATTAAAAAACAAAAGTAACAAGTAATAAAAGGCATTAAACAGGAATGCAAGGAAGAATAAGAGATTTTTAATAATCCTCAAGACAAATAAAATTTAGAGACCCAAATTTGTTATATTTAGTTGTTACATTTTGAAAATGAGTTTATATTAAATAATATTTTGTTAGAGTTGTCAAGCCCAAATACTTAACAATGCAAATGCGGAATTTCCACATGTATTTTATCGTTGTGTAGCTCACAAGGAGCTTCTGTCTGAAATTCTAGGATGAGGAGTTATCTTTATTTACTCTATTTACATTTGGATTATTGTCCTCAGCTTTGTCATTGTGTTGTGGAGTAGTTTTCACAGTGGAGGCTTGTATTTCAATAAGTCGTCCTAAATTAGGTTCGATGTACAAAACGTTAGGAACTTGAAAATAAGAGTTGATGCAGCAATCTAGTTGTGATGGTTGGTACTTCAATGTCTGATATTGTTTGACGCGCTCGACACCACTGAGCCGAACTGGCGACAGCTACTACTACTAGTACTTATTATCTGTGGGAGAGTCCATTACAATAGAATAGGTATATGGTATGACGTATTGTTATCTCAATATTTTGGCCATTGTGGCCTCAGCTTTCATCAGGTGTATATCGATCTGTGTAACTTATTGGACAATGGCCATGTGCAGAGGTCAGCAACCTTTTTGAGAGTACATGCCATAACTGGCCACATCTCTGACACAAAATTTTTTCACATGCCAACAAAAGTTTTTTGAGAACATATTATTTGATATATGTGAAGAACTTTTTTAAATGATAAAAATCACCCTAGATCAGTAAAGACACAGTATTTTAAGAAATGAAGCAAATCATGTAAAATGGACTCAATGAAAAAAATTATGACAGGTTTTTATGAAAAAGATTTTTTGTGATATTTTTTTTATTAGCCTGTAAGTATAAATGTAACTGCCATTAATACTCACACAATTTAAAAACACTATTACCTATTATTAACATCAACACAAAAAGTTAACACCAACTGTTTTTCCATTAACCAATCATGATTTTTCCCAGTTATACATTTTTCTGACTAAAACATAGTAAAAGGTAATTAAAAATAATCTGTTGCTGATTTTAAATCCCTTATAAATGATGGATAAAAAATTACATTTCAAATCTACATTTAAACAACCCTGCACATTTGCTACTTTCAAAATAAAACATAAAATAAAACTAGAGACAGAAAACTAGTTGACTCTTTTTATATATTATCAGAGATTTTATATCAGGTTTATATTTAATAACCTTGAAAGATATGCATGCACTATTAGTTTCATCCATTGAGTTACCACTGTTATGAAACTTAACAAAGTTCATCACTGAGAACAAAGATTCACATGCATATGTAGATGAAACATGGATAGTAATGCTGTTGTAAGGATTTTTTTAAACAGAAAAAATTTTCTGGAATGGTTTTCTAAGTCCTTAATACTTTGTTTTCTGCATTTCTCTCTGATACTCCCACCTTTAATCATTCCTTTTCAATATATTCCAAATCAACTTTAAAGTCAACAAATTTCTGCTTCAAAATTGAGCTACTCTGAAATTCAATCAACTCCATTTTAAAATTATCCACGTCTATCCATGAAAACATTTGCAAGTTTAGTTCATCCAGTTTGATAGTGTTTGGAAACATTATGAATTTTGCTGTCTCTTCCAGTTCTCTAAATTTATAAAATCTCCTAAAGAACTGCTCAACAGTTGATTTAATGATGTTTACAAATAGCTTTTGAAGACATTGGTGATCTGTTGGAAGATCATTGATTTTTAAGTTTGGGAAGTATCTAAATCTCTCATCTACATCACTCTTAAAAACTTCTAGTTTCATTTGAAAAGCCTTTATGTAATCAAACATAACATCGAGTGTCTTACCAAAGCCTTGTAATTTAATATTCAAGTCATTTAAATGTTCACAAAAACTTGTAAAAAACATCAGTTTAAAAACCCACATGATGTCAGACAATTCTTGGTAATACATTTGTTGGTCATTCAGAAAGAGCTTTATCTCATTTAAGCATTCAACAAATCATTTCAGAATCAAACCTCCACCCCTGGCTTAGTGAATTAAAATGTTGGTTTGTGAATTTGGTGTCATAGTAATGGTTCAATCCCTGGGTCAGGCAGTGTTTGTAAGATTTAGAATGAGCTTGAGCACATTCACTACAAAATGCATTTATGGACCTAAAAAAAAACTAACAACTTAACATTGTCATAAAATTATATATTTTAAAAACTTGATATTATTATTTTTTTAATTAAGCTCAGAGATTTTTTATATAGGCTTTCAGAAGGTTCTAGAATCTTGTCATTTATCCTCTTTCCTCATGTGAACCTGTAGACTTCCTGTGGAGCATAAGAACACAACCTGACCATATTGTGGTCTTGCTGTGGTTTCAGTAGCAAGTAGATTTTACAGAGTAGAGTTGCTAGCCAGATGGTTAACTCATTTTGAATTCAAAGTTTTCATTCTCCTAGACTGGTTGCCAAGTAAGGCTAGAGAATTCAGTCTGCCCTGCTATTTATCTCATAGTTGGGATAAGAAGAGATGGATTTATAGCCTTTTGTGCTCAACTTGTTTTGAATGATGAGTTGTCCTTCTCCCAGACTGGTTACCAACTCCAAGAGCACTTGTGTGAAAGTGAACATAACTGCTGGAATTTGAACTTGGTTCATTGATCCCACATTCCATGAGGATGACCATGATGCATATATCTATAATAAAAAATAATTCTTTCTATACATGCTATTCAAAGTTTAGTTAACTTATAAGAAGGCTATTTCAGTGACCTTCAAAATCATTCATGTTTAGTTGGGAATAAAACTGACATGTAACAATCATTATCTCTAAACCAATGGCAATGTTTATTGTTTAAAAAATGATGATTAGAAATCTAATAAAACCTAAGTGTATGATAAAAGTGATTTTATACATTACCTTTTTTCTTGAGAATGTACAACAAAAATATTAAACATTATTTATTTATTAGATTGCTTATTTACAAGTTTAATTTTATGTTTTCGACATTCTAAAAACTAATATATTTGTATTAAAACTAATGCTATGCAATATTTATCATTTACTAATTTATAAATAAATAAATATGGAAACGATTTTTTATTCATAAATTTATAAACATTTACTAAATTATTAAAATATATAAACCAATTAAAAAGAAAATCTTATTATTTACCATTTTATAAAGTTCGAATTGATTGGCAATTTGCAGATATTTTGATAACAATTGCAATAAAGAATATAATAATTAAATAGTGTAAATAAACAATCTAATAAAATAAGTGTATTTATTATTTTTGTTATCAATTCTTAAGATCAAAGAATGTATAAATTTACTTTCACATGCTTAGATATTATTAAAATTCTAATCATCACTTTTTAAAAGAATCAGCATTGCTGAGGAATGAAGGTAGTTAAAATAATAGCCTTGTTAAGGGAAACACCACTGTTTTTTTGCAGGCACAAAGGTTAAAGTTTGTCAAAAATGGAATATTAGTGCTACATCTGGACTGGAGCTGTCCAATCCTCACTTTCAAGTCTTGACAGAGTTCAAAAGGATTTATGCAGTCTTGTGGGTGATGAATTATTTTCAACGCTTTTTCCATAAAATGTTTCAAAAATTGTGAAATGAAGATTATCCTGAATGGCCACTCATCTAGATCCTCATATAGTAACATGGGTGTCCCTCAGGGCCTCATCCTTGGTCCAACTATGTTTTTAGTTTTCACTAGCAGTAGAGCCCGGCGTTGCCCGGGGATGTAACAGTAAGAGATAGATCAAGTATCGACCATCATAAAGACTGAAAAATAAAATTGACAAAGATTATTGTTTAAGGTTGACGGACACACATGTCTTAATTAGTTTTTTTTTGTTTTTTTTTTACGAATTGGTTAAACCCAAACTCAAACAAAAACATTGTTTTCAATTGTTATAACTCTACCGATTGAATAGAATTTTATTATAAACAATTGTCTTGTAAATGGAATTTTTAAAGCATTCTGAATGTAAAAATAAAGAAAGAAAAGTGTGCAAGAAAATAAGAAACACTACATGCCAACAAAAAGTGAAGTTTTGTTGAAATCGGTTGAAAAATGTAGGAAATCCGATCCCATATATAAACGAACACACACATACACACACACACGCGCACACATACACACACACACAACCAACCTGGGTTCTAGAATAAGTATAACTCGATAACTCGATATTAATAAGTATAACTCGATATGAGTTGTCCCCCTTACATTATTGCCTCTTAATCGTGTTTTCAAATTGATTTCGTGCAAAAACAATTGTGTTTTCTGTCAGAACCACCGCAAGGTAATTTTACACAGTCCTGTGAAGTTTTGTTGAAATCGGTTGAAAAATGTAGGAAATCCGATCCAATATATAAACGTACAGACACACACACACAACCTAGGTTTTATAATAATTATGATATATATATATATATACACACACACACACACACACACACAATCTGCGTTTTATAATAAGTAAGATTAATGACCTTCCTGATGATATCAACTCTCAACTTGGCATCTATGCTGATGATACAATCATTTACTCCTGCCTTGATAGTAAGGCTGATCAGTCTGACAAAATTAAAATGGCAGCCAAAATGATCCAAAATGATCTCAAGTTTTTTGTTAACTGGGGCAAAAGATGGCTTGTTAATTACAATGTCTCTAAAACTAAACTTCTCTCCATTAATCATCTAAGAGACCCCTCTTTGCCTTAAAATCAGCATGACTGCTGCTAGCTTCCAGGAAAGTGACTCATTGCACCTTCGTGGGCTTATATTCTCAGCTGACATGAAGTAGAAAGACTACATTGAATCCATTGCTAGATCAGTTGCTAAGAAAGTTGGTTCACTGTGTCGGGTGAGACAATTTTTCTCTCCAGAATCTATCTTACATATCTATAAGTCTACCATTCATCCATGCTTAGAATATTGCTGCCATATATGATCTGCTGCCCTTGCAATTTATCTTGTGCTCCTTGATAAGATCCAAATAAAAATCAGCAATATTATTGGTCCTGATTTGGCAGCTCAGATTCAGTCACTTTCACACCACTGTAAATACTTTCAAGGTAATTGTTCAGATGAGCTCTTTGCTATGGTACCTAGACTTTATGAATTTAAGTTCAGTACTAGATTAACTATTACCTATTGTCTATATTTTCTTTTAGAGACACAAGTTACCAAAAACCAGCTTCTTCCCTTCTTATTTAAAGAAAATTCAAGTCTTTGGCACATTTGGACCAAGGGTGAGTAAAGAAGTTATTGCAAAAAGATTTTTTGAAATTATTCCATATCTATAAAAACATATACATTTAACAATAGTAAATGTCAATTGTAATCTTCTGTCTTCTTAATATCTCTTCTTTTATTGTTCTCCCTTCTTAATAATATTTTTCTTTTTCTCATATTCTCTGACACTCATTAACCCATTGAAGCTTGATGGCTTTATTGCCTTACTTGGGGTGAAATGATTTTAAAAAAAATGGAGGTAAACAAAATATAGTTGCAATGAAGAAAAAAATTCTTTGCATAAACTGAATTATTATGGAAAATTTTGGATAATTTTTTTCTTCTGTTAAATTACCCAATTTTTTTTCTGTATCTTGGATATTTGACATGTTTCTTGAAATTACTCCACCCAGAAATAAAATGTTTTTTTTTTCTTGTGGAAACCCTATTGTGCTTTAAGTCTCCTGAACACTTGGGTAACACTTCTTTCTGCCATTTGTCAGCATGGCTGATGCTAACCTCTAACAGTGACTCATTGAACTTTCTAGGGTTAACATTCTTGGCTTACATGAATTGGAAAGACTATTGAATCCATGCTAGGTCAAATGATAAAAAAGTTGCTTCACTATATCGTGCTAGACAATTTTTTCTCTCCTGGATCTATCTTACATATTTATAAGGTTAACATTCATCCATGCTTCAAATATTGCTGTCACATCTGGTCTGGTGTTCCTCCTATCTATTTAGAGATTCTTGATAAAAATCCAAAAAAGAATCTGTAATGTTATTGGGCCTAACATAGCATTTCAGCTTCAGTAACTTCAGTTGCTTCCCTATGCCTTTTCTATAAATACTTTCATAGTAATTATTCTGATGAATTTTTCTCTATGGTTTTAATCATTCCAAGTCCACAAATTAATTTCTTGGTGGCTCTAGAAAATGAATTATTTATTTTTGGCCACAATTCTCTTATATAAAGGGCTTCCAAAATTTTAAGTTATTGTTTAATATTATCTTGATAAAGCACTGATGTTTTACAACTAATATCTGTCTAAACTGTGAAGGTGAACATGAGTGTTCCTTTAAATGTTCTGAGATTGAACTATGATCATTCAGGTGAAATGCAAACCTTCTCATCATCATTGTTGTTGTAAATAAAGTCAATAGCAACAAAGTACTTTTCTACAGCCACCAAAAAATTCATTTGTAGACTTGAAAGGATTAAAAATAAATAGACATAATACATCTAAATTATTTAACCATACATATTTGAATGAAAATATGCCACCAAAATATATATATATATATATATATATACACATACCCAAGTATATGATTGGTGTATATGGAATATATATATATATATATATATATATATATATATATATATATATA